TACTAGAAACTAAAGACGTATTCCAGACATATCAAAAGGAAAAATAAATAAAACGTTTAAGTTGAAATCCCAGAGTTAAATTGAAATCAGTTGAAATGAAGAAATAAAAGCCAATTAATTCGCAAATGCGACTTTCTATATAATCGCTTAAGCCTGTTATTCTGGAGTATATTTAAGACCATTAATTAACGCTAGAAGTTCAGCATCCGCGATTTACTTAAGCACTTAGTTGCTTTGTAAAGAAGCTATGTGCAAGTCAAGAAATTACTTCTTCTGCGAAAGACTAATTCCCTTTCAAAATTTATGAAAGATATCTCAGTCTGAAATAGGATTTTCTGGTGGGTTTCAGTGTAAAATCACTATTTATGGGAGCATGATCAAATGCAAATTTAAAACATTTCGAAATGGTATTTGATGAACATGTTTGCAAGCATTTCAAATACTGGTGAAAGAAAATTACGCAGTATAAATTGAAGATATAACAATAACAATGAGTTCATATATTTCTCTACTTAAAAGTTCATCTACATAAGGAATATTTTGAAAAGAAAGTATTTTGAATTACAGTAATTAAAACGGAAACTTGCTTGGAAAACTCAGATAAAGTAATCCTGTTATAGTAAACAAATGACAAATTACAGACATCCGTAATTTATCGTATCTGCAATTTGTTGTATGTCTTAAACTGACAAAAGAAATAATTGAAATTTCCTAGGGAAACAAATCTGAAAGAAAACTCTAAGAACTGATTCATAAGAATTGCTAATGTTCTATATGCTAACTTTACTTACCTGACTTCGAAGGGGGATTTTATTGAAAACTTTAATTTTTAAATCCAGAGAGTATGCTAAAAATTGCCCTCCACGAACTTTGCTTCTTAAGGGTATGATATAGAGATTACTAAATGAGTTGAATAATTACATTTTGATACGGAAATATAAACATGTAGAACGTAGAAAGAGAACGAACGAACTTAGAATGAACGTAGAATCACTTAGAATGAGGTGCTTTGCGGATGACAGAAAAATATGCAAAAGTTGACGCGGTTCATTTAACGTGATATTTAAAGATATTAAGGGAGGTACATAAACTGCGAAGATAAATAATGATTTTTCAATGCTTTCTAGTTAAAATTTCAATAATATATTTTGAGTTAAAAGCGGTTTAAAGGAGAAAGTGTAAACTATAACTGCAAAGGAAGTTTCCAAAAATAAAATTTTTATCGGCAGTCGTAAATCCAGATAGTGTAATTAGGCATGAATAGCATTCCTGTGAGATAAGCTATAGAAATATTTTTAGTACTAATCATTGTTGCCAGCTGCTGTTCTTGCTGCTCGGTATCTGCCTAGATTTATTTGAAGAAATGAAAGGTTCTTTAATAAAAGTTTTGATTGATTTCTTGACTCCGAAACTCTTGAATTTTTGAAATAGCTCTTCTCGCTGAATTAGACAGATACGCTATGTGCTCCGTGGTCGATTGAAAGCTCCTTGTTGCCCGTAGTTTTCTCCGAATGCAGTTGGTGCATTTTTTTAATAGTGCACTGCTTATGGTAATGTCAATCTGAACAAGCAAAACAAACTGTTGGGATTTTGAAGACTCTTCTTGAGCGTCCTAATTATTGCATCCGATCAGAGAGACATGTGGACACAAGAAACTGGTGTTGAATCCTGTTAAAATATTGCCTTCGATTGGAATATTGACGCAGGCTGTGGGGAAAATGTCATCTATCCAGTAAAGTTTTGTCGTTCCATCTTCTTTATCCCCAGTCCTGCTTTAACTGTGAGTTGATTACCTAATTATAAATCTTGAAAAGTTATAATAAGGTCTTCCTCAACTGCTGAAGATGATACCCCAAAATCTATTAAACCCGTTTTTGTAGGGTTGTGTTCCCTTATTGTTAAAATGATTTTAAGTGAGCTCATTTCTTCAATTGGTCTCTATAGGAAGAGTGGAGCGATTGTGTTTTTGTAGCTCATTAATAATCTTTGCATCTGGTGGGGTGAACTTGCTCGAAATTAACTCTCAGTTTTCTAATATTGAACTCAAAGTTTGGATAATTTTCAATGTGGTACGGTGTGTGTCCACCGCTGACTGAATGAACCAGTAACGCAGTGCCTCAAAGAGGCTTACGAACTGGTACGTCTGCAACAGGTTTATGGACCGATAAATGTAATCTTTTTTTTACGTCTAACTTTGATAAAATCAGAATCTTCTGAAATTGCTTAAACTTCCGATTACAGTGTAGGTGGTGAAGTGATGCAGCCTGAGTGTTTTCAGAGAGTAATGCCAACTACTCTTGAACCTGTTGTATCTTAGCTCTTTGCTCAGATATAAATACGTTCAGAAGTCAAACAACAAAAATCAGCGTTATATTTACCAAATTTTTAAAATTTGGTAAATATAACGCTGATTTTTGTTGTTTGACTTCTGAATTAGTATTTATTCGGCGTGTTATTGTGTCTTAATAAATACGTTCTTTTTCAGTAATACTTTTTGTGCAAGTTTTCAATGATTTCAGAATCCTATTCTAGTTTATCTGAGTCATTTGCTTCATAAATCTGTAAAGATTTATTTAGTTTTATTAACCAGTTATTTTATGCTAATTCCTTTTGATTTCCTTCTTCCTTTCCTGCCAGAATGCAATTTTATATTTCACGTGTGTTCAAATGAAGTAGAAAAGGATATAGCATTCAATGGGAAGGTTTTAGTGGGTAGAATCAGAGTGTGTTCTGCCTGGCGAAGGACACGTTTGCTAACTGATTCTCTAGAGAGCAGTATAACTACGACGTTGTGTTATTCTAGCCATTAGGCTTATCAAGACGGTATTAGGTCTAAGGCAACTTGCGCATTTTGTGTCTTTTAACCTTTCGGTTAACTTCATAATTCATAATTCGTTTTTTTTCTTTATTAAATCATAAAAGCTGCTGTTTCTGTAAGCACGAACAATGCCTTCTGTCAAACTTTTATATGAGACTTAAGGGTCTTTTACATCCTTCGTACGTTTCTGTCATAATGTCAAGACATATTGATAAGTCACGTACGTCTTGAGAGTTCTTTTCTAATTTATGCTACCAAAGAAGAACAATCGCTGTAAAGTTTTCTTCTTCAACGAAAAGACATTGTTCAAAAACTTCTTCCAGGTATTAGTGTTTACTTTATTGATTTCCTGGCGTTTCTTTTGATAAGAAGGCAAATGGTTTTGTCATTAGTGTTCTTTAATAGATTTAATCTTCTTGGAATAGCCTTGTCAGGTAAAGTTGCTTGGATTAAACCTAATGTTGCATTAGAAAAGAAATTTGATTGAATTGAACATAAATAGTGTTGTTACTAAATGTACAGGAGCGGTAAGATGGCTTCCCCGCAAAGCAGTTTTAGGGTTGTTATAAAATGGCAAGATAAGGTACTGTGGCCACATTTGGCGAGAAATCGCCCATTTGGCGACAAAATTGGCGATATGCCATTGACGGATGGAGAACCTTCTGGAACAATTTCTTACCGGTTTAGCACAGAATGTTCTCGAACACAAGCCGAAAGCTATATAAACCCTGCTGGTTCCGCAGTCAGTTAGTGTGTGTGTGCCTCGTCTAGCGAGCTGATAATTAGTCATTGAGCGAGTGTCTCGAAGTCTAGAGCCGAGATGGTCGTCGAGTGCATCGAGAGAGTCTTTTAGTGTATCGGCGAATTGGTGCATCGTCGAGTTTTATCTTTGTTGTAGAGTTCCTCACTTCGTAATTCTAAGTTAATGTTGGAAGTGAAGAATCTAAGAACTGATAAGCGAATAATCGCTTGAGTTCGGTAACAAGAAACAAAAAGATAGAAGGGTAACTAACCCTTTATTATTCCAATAAGATTTAAAAAAACTCCGCCTGGGAGTGTACAAGCAAAGCCCGCACTTGGACTTGAAATTAAAAGACTAAGAATTAAACTAAAACTAAGATTAACTAAAGAAGTATAGCCGAAGCTATCAATGTTCAAATCGAGTTGACCTCTTAGCTTATTTGACTACGAAGCTTAGCAGGGGCCTGAGTAGGGCCGAGCGTAATAACAGCTTTGAGAGAGAGAGTGGCCAAAAACGCAGACGCGCGTAAATCAGAAACTCTGATTCTCTCTGACTCAGTAAGTAACTTCGTGGTTTAAATACCGCTCCTCCTCATTAAATTTTCAGCAAGATTCCAAAACTACGTTCTGGCCGAAAGTAGTAAGTTGAAGTTAAGAATTTGACAGGAAAGGAACTTTAACTTAAAATTTAACTGTTAATAAAATTAACATAATTCTTACATTGTAATTAAAAAGTGTTTTAAACATTATATTCCATATATGAGAGCACAAAAACAAATAATGCACAAGAGTTTAATACTAAGCTGTAAATATTAGTAACAGTGTTAAGATAACATGCAGCTAAATGTAAATATATGAATGTAAATAAACAAACAAATTATTTCAAATCCGCATATTAAAATAATATTTAACACATATTGTTTAAAGGCAGTTTAAACAATAAGTTGCAAGTCCTCTCTAAATGATTTAGAAGAATCTGTTGATAATAAAGACACTAAAAGAATTTAGAACTCTAAAAGATTTAGAAAATTCTGAACTATAAAAGATTTAGATGTACGAATGTTACTTATCCGTTATTCTTGAAAATTAAAATCCAAAGAGTTACCAACTTTAATGTGATATGTCTTTCAAAAACTAATTACCCTATCTGCTCATCAAAACGCAACCAACTACTTTTGAAGAACAACATGAAGTCTTTTGCAGAAGACTGCATTTTAGACAGAAGATATATTGAGAGTTTCGCGTTCACTCTAGGTGCCTTAACATCTCTCATCAATAACCACTCCTCAACAGTAAATTTGAGCCACAAATACCCTGCCACAAATGCCTTATAGAACAATTCATTTTTGCGTGATTAAATAATAAATTCATCGATTTCTCTCTATGTATCTATGGACATGTCTTTATAACAGATTTTGATTCTCTGTTCTCTCATTAACAGATTGCTGAATGGTCTGACAGAAATAATCTGACCATGATACCTCCTGTTCGTAAAAGAGTTCCAGAATCTCAAGTTATTTTTGAAAACAAAACATATATAGTGACTAGCATATTAGTAAGTATGTTTTATGCATAATTATTCTGAGAAAGCAATAATGCTATATATATGTATTTTTATCTGTCGTTACTTCGAAACTTTTAGTTTAAAGAAGTTGATTCAATAACAAAATATCAGAGAGTTATTGTTAAATTATGCAGCTTTTAAATGCTTATAAAAGTTATTGTTCTAAATAAAAAGATATAATTAAAACTACTACCAATAAATCTTTCACAGGAGGAGCCGTATTTGATGAAGAAAAAAAGTGAACCTGGTGTTATTTTAGAAGGAAATGAAAGTTTCGAAGGTTATTGTAAAGATCTTGCAGATTTGATAGCTGAATATTTGAAGTTCAGTTATATATTAAAGCTTGTTAATGATTCTAACTATGGTGGTCTTGATCCTAACTCACCAGTTGGATGGAATGGAATGGTCGGTGAACTTATTGGGAAGGTAAGGGAGACATATAATTTTATTCTGCTTTTATTACTTTATACGTGACATGAGCGTTTAAAACTGAAACGCACGAGCAAATAAAAAATAATTCAGAATATGTCAAAATTTCTATCTCCTGTAAGCATTTAGGTAGGTATACAGTGATTTTATTTGAAATTTCTTAAGATTATTTTAACCTAGTTAACCTTTTTTAACCTTCATCATTATTTTTAATTTGACGAAATGTCTATACAGTCTGTTAATCATAGCGTAAAATTTATTTTAGGCTAGTATCGCCTCTAACCTTATACACACAGATAGGAAGGTAATATTTATGATAACTTGATATTGAGTTTTCATTAAATATCCATGAATTAGGGGTCATAGAGCACGATTTTTACTGTTTTTATAATGATATATGTCTGTGTGTATGGGCGTGTCGGCTTTTCATCCATGATAACTCTTACATAAAAATTTCAAACATTTTCATTTTCCATATTTAAGCTGTATTTCCATATTTAAGCTGCTTTTAGTATTTAACGCTTTTATATTAATGGGAACAATATATTAGATTTCACTAAAATAGATAAGTAATACTTTATTTGAAATTTTGGACAGTATTTAATGAGAAAATAGAGAACTATATTAACGAAAGCTTTTTAAATTTGGTATTTAAAATTCGTATATGATTGTACGTTGCATATACAATCATTATTATAAAGACATCTTGCACCTTGACTATATATGAATAATCGAAGGTGGTACTTTACTTGGAACTTGGCTACAGAAGAAGACAAATTTGTTCGTGACACAATAGAGTCTCATTTGCAGACGTGTAGCATGAGATCATTTTGTTTCCAAAGGGCGATTTTGCATCTAAGTTGCTCTGAGCTACTAAACCAGTCAGTACTGTCAAAACAGATAGCTTGTGTTCTATCCATTAGGAGACTTTCATCGATCTCACAACAAATAATAATTGTACAAAATCTTCAGTGCCTTCATTTTTCAGAGCTTAATTTTTAAAAGGCTTTGTAGTGATAATACTAGTAATAACAAACGGAAACTTAAAAGCATGCAAAAGTAATCAATAAAAACAAAAAGTACGGAAACTTATGAGTAAAACGTAATCAAAAATAATTCAACGTGAAAGAAAAGCAATTGTGATACGTATTGCATATTTATTTATTCATTTATTTTATAATCCATTCACATAAAAAAAGAAAATAAATCGATGACTTCTTATGTATCATATATTGCTGATAATTAGATTTATTATAAAGCGTGCTTTTTAACCGTGTAAAAGAGAAAAAAGAAGTTTTATCTTTTTAATATAAAAATCACAATAATAATATTTATAAAATTAATATAAATTATATAAAATTTAAGTAATTGATATAAACACAATATTTAAGTTTAATAATAAAATAGCGTAAAATTATTATACGTTACCAATAAAAATTCTCATGAATTTTATATTAATTTAATTCTAATAATTACACAAGCAATAAAACAGTTATTTTATTCGAAAAATCAAAACACTGCTCAGCTAGATTTGAATACACAATCTGCTGATTTACTTAAAATTCGACACTACAGTAAATGCGCCAATCAATCGAGCTAGCTACACTGAGGTAAATCATTAAAAAATCAAGAGAAATGGAAAATCAGAAGTATAATGAAATGCAAACAGACGATAAATTAAGCTTTTGTTGTTTGTCACAGTTTTCAAAACAAAAACTTATTCATACCCTTAAAAGAGAGGAGATTTAATTAATGCTAACAAATGAGATAAAAAAAGTACACTGCTGACCACCGTAAATGCAACACCTTGAAGGAAGCATGCAAATAGCATGCAATTTACAACATGCATTAGCGAAGGTGAGATATGCAAATGATTAGAATTTCAGCGCAGACGCACATCACGAGCGCCTGTGGCACATCACTTTAAAGCGCTATTTAAGGCTTGGAGTTTTCGACGATTTTAAATTCGGCAATTGTGTTTTTCTCGTGGTTTTTTTTCAAAAAAAAAAAAAAAAAAACGATCAATTATGCCTCGTAGTAAACAGCGATCATCGTTTGATCAAGTATCCGAGTTCAACAGAGGAAGGATAGTGGCCCACCGAGAGTGTTGAGTATCTTTGACAGAAATTGGTAGTCGTGTTGGACGAAACCAAACAACTGTACGGATATGTGACCGTTTGATGCAGGAGGGCACGACGGAGCGACGTGTTCGATCGCATCCATCTGAGTGCACCACTTCACGTGACGACAAAACATTGTGCGCATGGCAGTGACGGATCGCTCAGTCACATCACGAACCATAGCACAGCACATTCAGTCTGTAACGCATCATCCAGTGTCTGCGCGTACCATTCGACTCCGTTTACAGCAGAGTGGTCTGTCCGCAAGACGTCCATTGCTTCGTGTACCCTTGACGCATAACCACAGACGTCTCCGCCACCAATGATGCGATGAAAGAAGGAATGAAATGAAATTGTCTTTACTGACGAGTCACGCTTCCGTCTGCAACACCACGATGGTCAGATTCGAGTCTGGAGACACCGTGGAGAGAGCATGCTGAACAGCTGCGTTATGCACCGCCACACTGGTCCTGCACCGGATATTATGGTGTGGGGCGGTATTGGATATCACTCTCGCACTTCTCTAGTACGTACTGCCGGTACGTTAAACAGCCATCGCTACATCTCCGAGGTGTTGGAGCCAGTTGTCCTTCTTTACTTTCAGGGCTTGCCCACAGCCATATTTCAACAGGATAATGCGCGACCACACGTGGCACGCATTGTCCAAGGGTTCTTCGTCAATCGCCAAATTGAATTGCTTCCCTGGCTGGCCCATTCTCCTGATCTTTCGCCGATAGAAAACGTGTGGTCCATGGTTGCTGAACGATTGACCCAGATTAAATTCCAAGCTGCCACACCAGATCAACTTTGGCAACGTGTGGAAGCTTCTTGGTCTGCTGTACCCCAAGAAAACATGCAAAGTCTCTTTGAATCAATGCCGAGGAGTGTGGCAGCGGTGATCTCCAACAATGGGGGCGGCTACTCTGGCTACTGATTCTGGAAGGAACCACACTTCACAGAAGTCTATAAATTTAACATTTGATACTTGGTCAACATGTTATCTACTAAATAAATTTTGTTGTGATATCACTTGTCTTTCTTGGTTTTGCAATATGGGTGGCCAGCAGTGTACATCGCTCTGTAGCTTACAATAGCAAATCACTTGTATCAAGGTGAAAACAATTCTGAAAAAACATTCTGTTTTCATAGAAATCAATCGAAAATTATGATTTAAAGTAAAGATCGCAACTTAAATTTGTTAAAACAACAAAAAAAAAAAATCGCGGCATATGTCATTCAGTAAGGTTAACGTTGATTCAGTAGACGTATTCTAGTTAGTATTTAGTATACGTAGTTAGTACTCTTTTCGGATAGATGATTTCCATACGCAATTACACCATCCCTCGAGTGAGGTCTTTAGGCTGACTGCTAACACGTAAACCAATGGTCTAAAATGAAATGCTTCCCATCAGCAACAGTTGTGTGAAGCGTGCCGACAGGTGTATCAGAACAAAATAAGAACACCTTGTGGAATGAAGAATCATGCTATAGGTTATGGAGATCTGATGTACATGAGAAAGCATTACTTTTGCAAAGAATTGTCTTGTAGCCCCGTTTTTCTTGGCTTGGATTTGGTGCTAAGTTTGTTTCCGGAATCTTGAATATCAAGGAATGTAAAGTAGGATTAGATAATTTCATTATGATTACACCTTAGAAATAGCATGATAGCACATCTGTTCATGCAGCAAAATTTGAATGGTTTGGGAAAATACGAGCAAATGAACGCTACCTGGAGATTCACAGCTCAATTTTCAATGTATCTGAGTACCTTTGTGATGAACTGCCGCGGCTGAAAAAACTGTCTCAAACGCAGTATGGTATTCTCAGTGCTGCAATAAGAATGTAAAATGCCTAAAGATATTTACAGAAATATTCTAGAAGGTGTTTTTCCAAAGGTAGATGTCATGATATGGCGAATGACCACATTGCATTTTTCTGAAACTATTTCATTTCCAGTGAAAATGTTTCTAAGAGTATCTAATCATTAGTAGCAATATAGTAACATAGTGCATATATACCGCTTCAAGATTCCTACTTGTATATTGCGGCCATTTTATATGCGAGTGCAATATTATATTATGATTATTAGCAATTGTAGAAAGTACCTTTTTTAAATATAGATCTTTGGCGTATATTACTTGCAAACATAATCATGGGAAAAGTACCGAATTATACTTTAAAATTTTACGGAGAATAGTTTACTGAAAGTTATATATTCAATAAAATAATTTTAAATAGAAATTTTAGCAAATAAAAATTTTGAGATACGTCCTAGGATAAGTTCGGTTTTAGGTTTTCTTTCTTTTAGGTTCTTTATGTTTAAAATCCATTTTTAATTAATAAAATTATTCTTGCTTTCAAAATTCATCAGAAATACAACATCTACCTGATATTTAAGAGTTATCCGAAAATTTGACTCTTCCTGAATGTAGCAAGAAATTTAATTTAATGAAACACCTATATCTGTTCCGAAGCTTCTAATAATGTAGCACTCCATTAGAAAGTTGAGCTCTTCATAATGCTTTATAAATGTAGACATTAATATTAATAATGTACGCATACGGCAGTTTTTTCCCGTGCCACCAGACTTTCTATCCAGTCGAGTTCTAAAATTTTATCCTTTCCTGGGAGCGTAATTTCGCCCTGTAAGAAATTTTATGCTTTCATCCGCATTCTTAAATAAAATCTGTAATCTCCAGAAAAATTATTTTCGATAAGCGACTTTTATTTTTTACTTTAATTTCATTGTCCACTTTTAATATGTTCCATATTTCTGAATAAGTTATGAACATCTGCATGTCTTTTAGTTACAGTTTGAGTTCATTTTGATATTATTTCTAACCTTTGTGTTACCTTTATACTAAAGCAGGTTTATAT